ACAATATCTATCCCAGAGCATGAATTCTTTGCCAATTATCCTTGGCATTGCAATAAATGTCCTGCAAATTAATGAGACAGTAAATATGAAATAAATTTCTATATATTTGCCTGCATTTGTGTTACTGCATTCTGATATTACTGATGTCTCCTAATTGAGTTATTGTATAATATTGTATAATATATGATTAAAGATTTTCATTTAAAATTGCCATGAGAATTAATTGATTAATTGTTGCTTGGACAAACTTTCCTTTAAAGGTGTAAGAATTTATGTTTTCCCCATATGCTGTTTCCAGGATGAATCATTTCAGAAGGCAGCATTATCCCTTCAAGATAAAAGGGTAAGGAAGGCAGGCCCCTTCCTATTCAGGATAAGATACATGCAGAATCACAGCAATATGAGAAGATCATAATGCCTGGGAAAAAGCTTCAGGGCAAAAAAAAATGGGTGGAGAGAGGAGGGAGCAAAGAAATGAGCTGGGATGGCTCTAGGGTTTTAATTTGGGGTTTATTTTAACTACTTCATTTAGTTCTACTACAGGGGCAAATGATGACTGAAAACTCTTGCTGGAAATCTCCTGCAGTCTAAATACTGTTGGGAACAATGCAGAAGGTGAACACTTTTGAATCCCAATAGTGCCTTTTCCAAGAAAAAAACAACATTGTTCAACTTTGGGCCGGTTACCTTCTGAGGAGAGCTATTACATGGCTAAGAAAATAATTTGAAACCGATTACAGAACGAGAGAGCAATTTTTTTGTGGGAATATAAAAGTACTGGCAATAAGAAAAAACCCCTCAAAACAGAACAGAGAAGACAATCCTTTTAAAAAGCAAGAAGGAAATTTATATATATTAAAAAAATATGTGCAAATATCAGAAATCAGCTGGTCAGTTTAGAGAAGGTAGGTAGTAATCCAATTTGTACCCTGACATTTGAGAAACTGGAACGAGAAAATGAATTAGCAACTTTTCCATTATAATTATAATTATAATTAGGTCAAGTTAACTTGGAAACAATTTCTTTTGGCAGAAAAGAATGAACCAATATTTTATTGAAAGCTCTGGAGAGGATTGGGTTCTGATTAATGACAAACTGAGACACTTTACAAGCAGCAAAGGCTTTGGACCTAGTTTATGATTTTAATTACACCAATATGAATAAGACTAATCTTTCTAATGCATTTTCCAGTGAGAAAGTCACATCACAAACAAGTCATTCAGCCTTCAAGATTTACCGGGAAGAAGTCAGATGTGGATAGTAAAGAAAATTACTTACAAATTATGCTACTTAGAAGAATCACTATGGAATTTAGAATAAAGAATAAAACCAGTTCATTATTTCCAAAGAGCAGTAGAGAAACTGAATTTCCTAACAAGGAAAAATAATAAAAAAGATTAGATACTACTTACATTGTTTGCACCTTCACATAATATATTTCTCATGATTACCTTGATTAGGATATGTTAACTTTCATAAATAAAATAATTATATCTGAGTTAAATATGACTGAATCAAAATTAAGATGGTGTTTGTTTTACTTATTTTGTTTTATTTTGTTTTGTTTTGCTTTGTTTTGCTTTGATTTGAAAGTTCCAGAACAGCCTGCAGTGATGTGGCTGAAGATGATTTTCTAGGTAATATAGCCAAATTTCATAGATAGCACAGCTCGAGATCTCACAACTCTATTAAAATAAACAGGGAAATTTTGACTGTTATTATGCATGGCCTGTGAGTTAGTTTGGGAAATATGATGTGTAGAGGTGATTGTAGGGTTTTGAGCAATTTATCATCAAAAGAAGACTGCATCTTCATAATAGATGAGAGACACACAGCTCTTCATTGTTTTGAACTCTGAAAAAGTCTGGATGTCACAGCTTTATGTCATGTTGCCAATGTCTTTTTTTTTTTTTTCCCCAGCCTCATCAGTTATTTTCTTCACATTTGTTTTCTTCTGTGAGGTCTTGTATCCTGGCCATATCGCCAAAGGCTACTAGACTGCAACATGCCCTGCATAAGAATTTCAAAAGCATTGCACTACATAGGAGAACATGAAAGAGTCCTTCATGTTCTTTGGAATAATAAATGAAAACAAAGGAAAAGATCATGTTCCCCTCTCCCATGTTACTTTGAACACATGCTCCAAATGCTTACAGACTGAAATACTGCTACCCAAAGCAGCCACAACAAAGAGCTGTAGTGGAATATTTACAGAAATTATGCAGAAACATCACTTTATCAATTTTCTTCATTTTCCACGAGCTTGGAAGCCCAGCCCTTGTGACCACATTATTCAACAAATAATTTCAAGGAGAAAGTTTACAAATTTCATTTGATACATTCATGAAACGGAAGTGAAAGTAGTAAATGCAAACAATGTATTCATGTTCATAGTAACTCAAGGTACATACTCATTTTTAATTGCTGTCCAATCCACAAAAGCACTTTAAGCATGTGCTTACTTGATTACTGTATTAAAGTTTTAAAGTTAATGGTCCCATTGGGATTTTTCGCATTGACTTCAAAGGGAACCAGATTAGGATTTATACAGACTTGGCTAGTGGTGCTGCTTGTTATTAAAAGCCTTCTTTCATGTTGCATAAAACTTTGCCAGATTTTAACCATTTAGGCTGAAATTCCATATGCTTCATAGCTGCCTCAGGCTGAATTCTTCTGGAAAAATCCAAACAAAACTATTTAGTTCTTTTCAAGAGTGAGGACTAACTTGGCAAGAAGACTGGGACAGGTAAACCAGGGAATGTGAGTGGGGCTGAGAATGTCTGGATGAGAAAAGACTGGCACTGGCCAAAGAAATCTTGGACTACAAGGAAAAGGTGAGAGAGAGACTCAAGAAATTAATGTCCTTAAAAAAGGACAAGCCTGATTAGTTGGAGATAAAATTATTATGGATAGGACAATATGACTGTTACAAAAAACCATGAGTGGAAAAGATGCAGATCTGGGAAACAGAGAAGCTGGGACATGAGGATGCACTATAATGCTGGGACATGAGGATGCACTATAATGCTGGAACAGCCTGCACTGTCACAGCACCACCTTCTCTGGAGCTTGGAGAGGAGCCCTGAGCTCCATAAACTCGTTGTTCATTCCTCTTGTGAGCAAATGGCCATAAAAGCCACTGGCAAAATTTCTCATTCTCCTCTATGACTTGTCCATGGAGAGATTTCATTAGCTTTGGTAAGCTTAAAACCTGTTTCTTATTCCATTGGTTTAAATAAGGGATATAAATAGGAAACCACATCACAGAACTCATTTCCCCCAATTTCTTCTTCAAAAAATTTTCACTGCCTGTCTGACTCCCTTGATAAAAAGTAAGTTATTTTGGCTGTGAAATATCAGGTTTAGTGGCTTTCCCACTAAACTGTTCCCTTTTGACTGTGAGATTCCTCTCTATTCCCACCTATAACTTCTTCTGATGATGAGGAGTAGGAATTGTATGAGACACCAACAATAAAAAAAATAGATGAGATTTTTTGCAAACCAAGCAGGAAAACTTAGGAAAAATACAGAGAACTCAAATTTTTAATAACAGACCAGATTATTCTTAGAAGTTCTGTCAAGACTTTGAAGAAAAGAGTGTATTGTTTATTTTCTTCCGACTTGAATACCTTCTTTCCTGTCATAGAGGGTGAGGGTGACTGCAGAGAAAAGCAGAATAAGAAACAGAAACAACAGCAAGGAGTTAGGAGCACAAACCACTATTAAAGATCAGAGAATGGATGTCACTAAGATAATGGAAAGAGAAAATACCTAAGGACCAGCAAGGACTGTGTCATTTACTGCATGACTGACTGGCAGACAGCAAGGACCTGTCTTTAGGGACACAGTAGACAGGCAAGTGTGACTTCTTTTGTTGCTATTCTTTTTCTAATTCTTTTGACTGCATTGTAATTTCTAATCAAAAATTAGCTGCAGGTTTGATAGGGTTGTTTTGACAGATTTGATTTGGTTGGATTTTTTTCTTTTTTTTCTTTTTTTACTGTAAAAACCTTGGGTTGCTCACCATAAGCAAATGATCTAAGCCATTGGCTGAAAGATAAGAAAATCTGGGGTTCTGACATGATGATGGAATAGATGTTTCAAGGGCAGCTAGTGATCTTGCTTTCCTGACTCCTAAACAGACAGAGGTTCCACAGGAGGAAGTTTGACGTGTTTTCTGTCTTTCTGACAAACAGTACCATCCCGTGTTGTCCCTGTGCTGTGCATCACGTGTGGCTGCAGTGCTGAAGCTGCATTGCTTCCCTCCCCCTCCAGCTAGACCATGTTTGCTCTTGACAACCTAATGCCTGAGAATCAGCGAAATGTAAATCAAATCACTGGAGGGCAGGATTTTGAGCTTGTGCCTTGCATTGACCTTGTGTCATTGAGGGCTTTACATTAGTGCTGTGAGTCAAGAGCTGAGCTCGTGTTTAACATGCCGTATTAATGGAAATATTTGACCTTTAGCTCCTTTTGCTTCAGCTTCCCCTCTTCCAAGAGCTGCTTTTAAGAAGAAATTTGTAAGTTTTTGGGAATCTTATGTGCCACTGATTTCATGGATGCTTCCTACAATGGAAAGAAGGGGAATGAATAAGTTTTCTAATTGTCTGCACAGTGTGCAATGTGCAGAGCAGGTGGCTACACAGGGAAGAGCAGAGAATAATATCTGAAACAGGGGCACATGATGTGGTAAGAACTTTACCTGCACTGCATAAAGGAAGGTCCTGCTGAAAAATAGTATGTTAATGTGATTGGCGCCTGCATAGCAGAACTGAAGAAGTCAAAGGAAGTGAATTAATTTTGTGAAAAGAAACTAACCCCGGCATGCTTAATTTTTCATTAAAATAACACAGTTTAAAGTGCTTTTCTTGAATAGTATTTTAAAATAAAAATTATGCCTCCATAATCTCCATGCAGATATAACACAAATATGAAAAAAGTAGGAAACTATTTGAATCTACCAAATGTTAATGATTGAAGAACTATTTTTATTACCTTACTTGAAAATTCCCAAATCTTCTGTCATATACAGTACCTGCATATTGATGAAGTGAAAGGACAGCACTGAGATTTTTCCCATATAAATGTTATAAATTATCATTTAACATAGGTTTGTAGCTAAAAATGTATAAAATATTTTTACTATTTAAAAAAGGAAGTTATATCTTTGAAATGCTGGGCTCCTTTACAAATAAATTTACTATTTTATACAATCACAGAAATCTCCAATCTCCCGTTCTATTTGCCATTTACTGTGTTCTCTGGATTAGATGGAAGAAAATCTTCTTGAAAGAAGGCAGAGTTAAAAACCTCTGCTACCAGCAATAACTATTACTGAGAATCTTTTCATTCACCTAAATGAGAATGGGTAGAGAATAATGAGCAGAAGACTCTTCTAGAACTAAATGTCCCCATTAAAAATCCCAATTCTCCCGCGATTGAATGACTAAATGATCCTGGCCAACTCCATTTCCTTCTTCTGCCTAGCTTTACCTAGGAAATGGTAATACTAACATGTTCTGTACAGTGTTGTAAGGTCTCGGGATGAAAACGAGTAGAAGAGCCATGCTTTCCTAAAAGCTGTCACTGAAATGGTCAGATGCAGTTAAAAGGCTGCTGCATGTTATGAAATTCAGGCATTCTCATTTTTGCCTTGTTTTTCCTTATTCACCCTCCCCAGTACATACCCACACATGATTTTTGTGTATCTAAAACCATGCTTGGTTTTAGAATCTATCCCACATGCCTGTGGGTCCATTGGCCTCTCCAGTATGCACCTGCAAGAGATCTCAGCCCTCTCAGCAGGCATTTGAACATGGGATGTCTGTTCAGCTAGCACATAAGAAGGGAAGTTTTCAGAACATATACCTAGTCACTGCCTAATAGACCCCAGCATGGGTCACAAGTGTCAATGACTGACATTAGTGCCTTTCTCTCTTGCTTTTTATTTGAAAATGTTTCAAGACATGATCCTATGTTGGTAACAAATGCCATGAGAATCTATTATATTTGGAAGCAGTGGCAGATCCTATGTCATTTGTTGCCACGGCAGGAAACGCCCGACCATGCCCCAGATGATGCATCATAAGGCAGAAAATTTAAAGTCAATCCTACATGCTCATCCTACCTCAATACCCATAGCTACTTTACAGTATAGAACTAAACATTATTACAAATATAGTAGAGAGGCTGTTGCATAACCGCTGTGCTCTTGGCAAAACCTCTGCTATTGTGTTTGGAAAATGATAGTTGGTAAACACTGAGAATTTTTGTGCAATAGAGATTTCCTCATGAGGAAGCAACAACTGGCTGTAAATCTGAGGGTTATTTTTTTCCAGATGCAATCAGTACTCAATGTTCAGCTTACCTGGGGTCCATGAGCAGCCCTGGAGCAAGTACAAGTCTCCACAGAAGGAGAAAAGCCAGCTTGAGCTCTGGAAAGAAACCAGACTTGAGAGTGATTCTTCATCCTGGGCATTGGCACTCCCATCCACATTCACCCTTTTGTGAGCTAAGAGAGCCCTTTTCCCCCTTCCTCTCCCACATCCTAGTGCTAGCAAGAGAATACAGAATTTCAGTACTGATGCAACTTCCTTTACCTCTACTCATTTCTTCTCTGTGGTAAAAATCCATTCCCAAGGAGTCCAAAGGAGACCTGCTCTGTTGGATGTCTGGATTGCAACTGAGCCAGATTTTGTAATGTAAAAAGTTAGTACAGTACCTTCTTTTAAAAAAAATTCCTTCTGTGGGTTGAGATCAGTATATCTAAAGTGAGTAGCAACTGAGATTAGGCAGACTTTAAGATTGAGTATTTTTCAGTATCTTACCATTTTTTCTTCTCACTCTTGTGAAATGTTGTTTTCTTAGAAATCTGCATTGCCATAACTAGTTTTGAATAGTTATTCCCAGATCAGTTTTCTCTCTAGCACTTTCTTCCTTTGATGTATTTATAAAATACCTTATGCTCCTTAATTCTTTCCCCTGACAGAAATAGTTTGCTACAAATTACTTCACTGTCAATGTTCCTGCAAAATTTTACACTTCTAAGTCACATGCAAATTTTCTGAGATTTATTAAAAAAACCCAAACAGCCTATGCAAAGAGAAGGAGCTCATTATTAAAAGAAAAAAAAAAAAAAAAAGAAAGATAAAAGGGGAGGAGGGGGAAGCTACCATAATTTCCCATTTTTAGCAAAAGATCCATAGCATAGGCCTGAAAATTACACAATTTCATAAATTACTAGCTGTGGATTACTTGCATCCTAAAGTGGAGCATTATGTTGCATCCTGTATAAACACATGGTACCTTCACACACAATAGCAGAGAAATTGCTTTTTGGTGCCTGTAGCATCATATAGCATTTCATCATCACCATATTTGCTGTATCAGCCTTGAAATTGCTTGAAAATTCAACATAATCTTTGCCAAAATTTCAGTCCTGCCTATTTGAGAACTAAGTGTAACAAGTTCCCTGCCAGTTACATGAAGTTAAATCATGTTTCCACACTGACGGCACCTGAGCAAACCCTTTTTTTTCAATGTCTCATGGCTTTTTCAGGCTTCATGGTACAGTTTCTAAGTACATCTAAGCTTTGAGAGACTATCAAAGCAACAATCCTGGTTCTTCATTTGGTCTTTATTTCTCTTTTCCCAAGAATATTGTATCATTTGCCAAGTTAGGTAAGGAAAAGTATATTTAAATAGTGAGAAAAGTCATGCAACTCTGTATGAAATAGCTATTCTCTAAGTAATAAATTGAGCTTAAATTGCAAGTGTTCTGCCTTCACATGTCATTTGCTTCTCAGCATGGGTGTGTGTATTCAGAGATCCACAGTTCTGCAGGAAAGCAGGCTGTTTTCAAATAAGTTTATTCAATAAAAGGCTATTTGAAAAATTACTTTCCAGAGGGTGTTATCAAAAGATCAAGTTTGCACCAATAATCTAAAAATTTAGTTGTGTAGTAAATTATCCAATTTCCACTACAACTGATGGAGTGCAGCAATTAGAGGATGTCTCATACGGGATGATATGAATTTTATTAGCTGATATCTTTGTTGAAACTAAAGCAGAAAAACTCACAGGAGCATTCCTACTTATTGTGATCTTACACCTTAAATGAGATCCTTCATCTTACTTTTGTCAATCAGAGTAAACACAATTATACTCAACTTTCTGAGATTGAACTGTCATTGTATCGAGACCTTCATGTGTTATAACCTGAACCACTCATGATGAATTGCAACTCAGTGAACCTGAACCTGCTGTCCCAGTGAAGTTCTGTGGATAATTTAAAGATGGATAGGCTCTGGTAACACCTGTTTTTTGAGCTCAAAAAAGTGATACTTTTGTGGAAAAGCTTTTGCTTTCTTTTGCTTCAGTTTGACTCTTTTAACTAAATGTTCTTTCCTTCCATGACAGATATAAGAAATATCAGCAGATAAGACAAAGAAAGTGAGATCTGGTACTGATGCTAAATGAGTTTCAGTTCAGTAACTACAGATGAAATAATTTTCACAAAATGCTTGGAATGAGTGAGGAATGCCATGTAGGAGGGAATATTTCTGTTTAAATAAATTAAGAGAGATCAATCCTTCTCAGTCTTTTCATTGGCTAATGTGCATTGTCCACAGTCCCATCAAGCATCTTGAAGTCTGATTTTGGGGTTATTAAAACTTCATGCTTTGGTGACTAGAGATTATCAAACACCCCAGATTTCTCATCCTATATTAGTTTTTCAAGTTTTTTGCCATAGCCACGTATTAGGTCAGATATACTGTCTTTTATGTGCTCTGATCTGCCACTTTTCTTATTTAGGGAGAAGTTTTCACACAGTTCTTCTGAGAAATACCTTAGATCCTTTTCCAGTCATGACCAGTGTGTGATGTAGAAAGAGTTGAAAGGAAGAAGGGACAGAAGGATGTTTTTCCTAGAGTTTTCTGGGGTGCAGTCATTTGGAGGATCCATTGTGTATAAACTTCAGGAAACATTCTGAAAAAGATTAAAAACTCATTTTTCCTTACCTACACAAGGGGTTTTTTTTCTGTGCAAGCTCAAGAGAGCAGATCAATACTTTGTGATATAAAAGGGTATATGTCAATACTATGAGAGTATGTTCTCATGTTTTTGACATTTGCTCCAAGTACATGTAATGTACCTCTTAGTCCCTAATCTTGCAAACTTCTGAGAATTTACTAAGCTATGCTAACCAGAAGTGCAAGCCAAAACATAATTGCAGCATTTCTGTTTGTGTGCTTCTTGACTTAAAGCGAATGTGTAAAGGAAAAAATGCAAAGTCCTTTTTGCAGCTACAGTTTTGTAGGAATAAGTTAAAGCAACTTGACCATGATTACATGAAAGAAAGTTTAAATAGACTAAATCAGTTCAGATTTTAACCCTAATAAAATAAAACTAAAATTTATTTTTAGAATTTTATGTATTACATTTTCATGCATCAGAATTGTCCCAAACCTAAACAGAAATAGTGAATGGAGAATTAAAGTTGCACCAGTTTAAAAATTTACAATTAATTCTAAAAAGGATGAGGAGTACAGCTAAAAGCTAAAGCAGAAGATAGAATTAATGGCTTTTGGCTTTGGTATTTGCCTTCTCTATCTTTTTCACTGGTTCAGAAAAGAGGCAGAAATTGCATCCCTTCTCTTGTTTCATGTTCCTGTAAATTCCCTTTGCATTTATCCATTGTCCTCATCTTCTTTTCACCAGTTTTAGTGTTGCACACAGCATACTCCCACTCTCTGAGCACTGTGTAGCGCCACAGTTTCAGCAAGAGGAAGCAGAAAGGATTTATTGTGTGCCAGGACTTTGATAATCCAGTACCCTAGGATCCTTTTTCTTCTCTTCCTCTTAGAATGCTCCAAGACGTGAGACAGAATGGCAAGGACTGGATAGGAGGGAGTGCCTGAACACTAGTAGCATGATAGATTCATGCCTATTTTTATTTATCCCTTGGCTCTGCCGGATACTTCACAACTTTGAGTGACTCAGTCATCCTGAACTTAGTTTCTTATATGTAAGCAGACACTATTTCTTTGTCTGCATAGATAGTCATTGCACAGGCAGGTAAATCTCTACATGGCTTGACATGAGTGATGCACACTGCGGAGGTGTAGGCAATATTTCTTTCAACTGCCAGAAGTAGCAGAGAACTCACAGTTTGCTTTTTTGTGTTTATGAAATTTTAAGTTAGGCCCTGTCTGTGAACAAGTCTGGGGACGTAATTGTTCCAAACAGACAGAAATGCCCTATGTTCTTGGAAACAATGGTGCTTTATTATAAGGAAAACATTTCAGACTGGTATTTCAGTCCTTCTCTTTCCCTTCATCATTTTGCTTACAAGGGTTTTTTTGAGCAGCTGTAAATTTTAAGGACAGGTTTTAAGACATAAGGATCATCTGGTTTGATCTTTGCCTAACACAGGCCATAAAATTTCACCAATAATTCCTGTAGTGGAACATATCATCTTCACTTAAAATTGTAAGTGAATACTGTCAAGCCCAATAACTTGTGGTTTACTAGAGCATAAAAACATCCTGTCTCAATTTAAGGAATCCTGGAGATGATGGATTTCCTTCTTCCTTGGCAATGGATGATTACTGTCACTGCAAACCAGTTGTTTCTAATTATTGTCTTGAACCAAAACCAAATACAGGGCTTCCATATGATACTGGTGAATATGGCCTGAGAGTTTGTTACACCCACAAAAAGGAACAAAATATTCTGCTTTCTATCTCTGCATATGTCCTTTGTCTGCTGGCCTTTTATAACTATGTTTTAAGGGTTTTATCCTATGGTTGGCTCCAGTTCAACCCTTACTTTACTTTTATCTTGTTTAATGCTAAACCACACTTACAGTCATTCTTTTCTCAGGCCTCACAAAAGTGGTCCCAGATCATAGGAAAGAGAAGGCAGGAATTATCTGGTATGTCATGGGATGTAACAGGCAGTGCACTGTGTGATGATGGTACTTTTTACTCATAGAAGATTATGTGTTAGGAGAAAAACTATGGTAGCACAAGGCAGCTATCTGCCTTGTGAGCCAAGCATCTGCCAGACATAAACTTTCTGAGTTCTGTGTAATCACACTGGGACTTCAGCTACCAAAACTGGTAATTTCTGAGCCTGCCAGGCTGAATCAGACACAGGGGGTCATGGAGCAGCACTGTCTCAACACGGTGGATTCCAGAATTATTAGTGTTGTAATAATTCAAAAATTATTGGAAACTTTAAATTGAAAAAGATACATCCAAATGCAACAGTCATAACAAATCCATTCCCAATCTATTTCCATATTCTTTTCTGTCTTAAAAAAGAAAGGAACAAATCCCCTAAACTCTCTCACGATGAAATCCTACAGATAGGGTTTCTTTATTCTCTTTATGAGTTGGTGCCTTTCCATTTTCATTATTATTTATCTGTAATTGGCAAAATCATGTATTTGCCTTAGAAAAAGACGTTTTAAAGTATTGCTACAAAGTCTATCTCAGTAGTGTAGTAGCTGCATTAACAAACCAATGTGTCTAAATCTGTGTGCACTGATGAGGGTCAAAATGCTATTTTTGGAGAGTTAAAGTCTCAACAGAAGAAAAACCAAATGTTAATTAATAAAGTACATATTGAAACAAATGGTAAGATTATTAGCAACATAAACATT